TCATCGAAATTGTATCAACACCTCTGATAAGTATTGATCTCCCAGCTTATGTCCATGCTCTGGCTCCATTAAAGCATCCAATCCACCTTTATCAAGAACAATATCAAACGTTTCGTCTGGGAACTGGTGCAAATGCTAACAGTTAGAATCAAGATAATGGTGGAACCGAAAACAAAACTGTATACATCTTTCTGAATGAAACAAACATATAAAAAAGTCAAAAGCAGCATAAGCAATTAGACAGAGAAACAAGAAATGAAGTCGAAAACCAAACACGTTGATGGAAGATCCAACATACACGCACAGCAAAAGTGAAGACTAGCATTAGTGCATTATCCATCCCCTCTCACTATAAAAAATTACATCACCCTCACAGCAGCAAGCAAGGTCAACAAAGTGACTTCAAGTTGATGGATGACGATTCATGATCTGGAGTTACATAAACAAAACCCACGGGCTACCCCCAAAGGCCAGTGCACTGCAGCAAAATGATGTGATGAGGGAATGGTAGGGGCATGGACACGCATATGGGTATGGACATTATATCCAAGTAAGAGAAAAGCCACTATCAAAGTGCTCCATTTAGCTAATTCAGCTTCCTCTCCTAGTGGCTCTTATTCGCCAATCCAATTCAACCATATACCTTCCTCTATATATGTCAATCAAGCTAATGTACCGTTCCCTGCTTATATCTGCTGAAAATTATTTCTTTTTACCATACATTAGCTTGATCGACATATTTAGAACAGAAGAATGACGAATCACTTCAACAGCAATACGTTCGATTAATGAACAATATTGAAAAAAATTAAATTCCTGAAGGCAACTACAGTCAGATTTCACCTCATTAATCATGAGACATACAGGGTATGCCTGTTAAACACACCCGACCACAAATGCTCCAAAATACACACAAATTTTGAAGCTTCCATTAGCTTATACTGCAGAAATAATCGCAAGAACGCCAGTAACACCATTTCAACAAACAAAGCCACACGCGAACGTAAATTCACGCTCAGAAACTCCGTATGTACATCGCATATACACACACACACACACGTAGAGGCACCGCATAAGCAGCATTACGCCTCCAAGAAAGAAACGGAGAAACAAGGTCGACGGACCTGCATGGCGGTCATATCCATGACGCGCCACTTCATCGCGGGGCGATCGCGGACGTTGCGGCGGAGCATGTCGGAGATGACGACCTTGGAGAAGTCGATGTTGGTGACGGAGCGGAACCCGGCGTCGTAGAGGTGCTCGGAGAGGCGGGAGTTGCCGCAGCCGGGGACGAGTATCTGCGGCTGCGGCGGCGGCGGCGCGGAGGCGGAGGAGGAGGCGGAGGCGGGGGCGGGGGCGGGGGCGGCGGGGGCGAGGGCGGAGAGGAGGGGGTCGCGGAGCTGGGGCCACTCGGCGTACCACTCGAAGGAGTCGTCGCCGCCGCGGAGGGTGAAGAACTTGTCCCAGTTTTCCTTGCTGGTGAAGTCGGTCAGGGTGTGGAGCAGGTCCTGGCCCTGCGATGGCGCCTTCTTCTTCCCCATCGTCTCTCTCTCTCTCTGTACCTCCGTCGGCGGCGGTGAATCGGCGGCGGACGGTGGCGGAGCTCAGTCAGTAGGGCCTTAGAAGGGGATTGGGCGAAATGAGCCTGAAAGATTACTGTCCGAATCGTCTTGTATTATTATTTTTCTAAGGGCTAATACCAAGAAACACGTGAACTAATACACCTATGATAAATTTACCTTAAATTAATTTTTTAATTACAAAAAATCCTAAACTGATACACATGTTATAAATTTACTATTCATTAAATTTTATTGTCAAATTACTGAGTTAGATGTCACATGATAATTAACGGACGTAGCAGTTTGGGATTTGACCCGCTAAAACTAACGGATGGTAAATTTTTACAAACGTATTAGTTTGGGGTTTCTGATAATCTTGTCGCAGATGTACATGGTCAAAAAAATTAATTTTGGGGTAAATTTATCATTGATGTACCAGTTTGAGATTTTTCGTGGTATTAATTTTTCTTCTAATTTGAAGTGTCTAAAATTTTTCATAGGATATAAATATTAACACGTAAATTAATGTATAATTTTTTTCGTAATTTTTAAATTTGACTTGATAAGTTGAGGTTTGACAAAAGAGCAAAAGAAATTGTGCCTTCTGATTTATTTACTTAAGTGGAAACAAACAAACCTCATTCAAAAATATCATTGGCCAACTTTTTTCACTTGTCGCCGTCGCATGATATGTCTAGTATACAGGATGCGTTACGATCCGGAAAAATGACATAAATGCTCCGTGAACTTTGGTCCAATACACAATATGATTTCTGAACTTTTAATTTATATAATGCAGTCCCTGAACTTTAATTGAAATGAAGATAATATAAATCAAAATGACTATGTTAACAAATAGACATTTCATATTTATCATTAATTAGAGCAAAGCACTTAAAACGATTTTTGGAATTATCACACTTGTAGCACCTCAAATTTTGCAAACCGCACATTATCAGTGTTTAACGCCCTGCAGTTTGTGGATTTTCCTAAGTCCTAAATTTGAGTTGGCTAGTCACCTAAATTCGTAAATCAAAAATGAGGAAAGAGTTTCTTCCAATCGATTTATTTAACCTAAGTCGATTAGATATCTAAACATGGAGAAAATATATCTCGATGTTTTTATTTTTCTATCTTTCGCTTAATACTCGCACACTTGGAATTATCTTAAAATCAGAACTTCTAAAACTTTCACAATCTCCAAATACGTAGAGAGATTGTGAAATAGTTCATTTTTTTTTGTTACATAAATTTAAGTGTAAAAACCCTTAATTTTTGGGACGATGCTCGATCCCATGTTCACAATTGATTCTCCTCCACGAATCTCCGTGCCTCCGTTTTTGGTGGGCTAGTGGAGACAGAATGCTAAACTATTAGATGTCCTGTGGTTTAACATTTATATATTCTTTCAATTCCTTTCACACGAAAATATTTGAACTCGGGACCAATTGCTCTAATACTATATGAAATTTGTGAGATTAACATCAACTGTTCTAAAAACTTAAATTGTTATGATGTGATTTAATATTTAAATATTATATTAAACCTTTAGCCTCATGTTCTTCTTCCTCTTCTTCTTCTTTATAAACCTTTAGCCACTTCGTGAAAAGCGACCTATGCCAACCAGGAGGAATCTTGGATTTCTCTACATTAGTTTAGTATCACTGTATCAGTGATCGGTCCAAGTACGTAGCAACACTGAGAAGTGACAAGATACAACGATTACTTGATTTTCAAATGGTGCCATTTATTGATACAAAAATTTGCACCTCGAATTATAGCTTATTCACATATTCTATAATCTGTAATCCTGCACATTAAAAATGACCCTCCGATATTTAAGTCAATCAAATTCACGACGATAAAAAATAAAAGAAGAGAGAGTATGGATAAGAGAAATATTATTTTAGGAAGGACAAAACTAGGGGTGAACATTCGGTTTTGTTCAACCTGGACACGGGACTGAACCAGATTGAACTAGCTGGTTCAAGGCCGATTTTCGTGGATAATGTTCCAGTTCCCATATTTGACCCTGGACCGTTGGTTTTACTCGGAAATCAGCCTTGCAAGACTGGTTCTAGGATAGAATTGGACCGAACTAGGACAGAATTGAGACTAACCCTAGGTTTCTCTCTTTTAACTCTTGCTTCACTTATGTTAAGGACAAAATTCATGCTCATTCTATAAAGTTCAACGCCTTAGTTTTCTAGAACTGGCCCTGACAACATAGTTTTTGGGTCAGGAACCTACCCAACCTGAGAATGACCCTTAGACAAAACATATCAAAAACTATGGCTAATACGTGTGTATATATTGACATAATATGAACTGATTAACGGGTTTCGTAGTGGGGTTGTACTCTAAGTGCCACTTATCGTGATGGGACTACTTGTTATACCTATTCACTTATTAAAAGCCCTAGTGATATTTGACCATATCAAACTATCTTCAAAAGAGTATAACAAGAAGCATATCATCACATCCTATGAAGAGATCTTCTAATTGGGAGCCAACTGATATGGTCGTAGGTCACTTCTCTTCTCTAAGATCACTCTGTTTCCTCCCAGTTGACCTCGACTTGAGAAGCACTTGAGGTCAAGTCAACCTCAAGGACTCAGAGAGTGGTCCAAAGTCTAGTTTAGCTCAGGGAGTGATCACAGTCTTTCGATGTTTATAGGACTACCTCATAAGAACACTAGAACTACCGAAATCATACAGTACTGTGTTATGCTTTATGGTACCCACGCAAACACCAATTTAATATCCACAGTGGCGTCGACGATGTCGTTCTTGCACGGTGGCTGATATTCACCCGTTCCTCGAGTCGTATTCGTTGACGACTTTGGTCATCACACTCCTCCCAGTGTCTTTATGGACTTTATCCTTATCCCATCTCCTCACCAAGACCCGCCAGCGTACCATCCAATCGATGGTGCAACTATCAGCTCAAAGTTCTCGTGGTAGTTATTGTCATACTCTGACAGGCCCCCGCCATCATCCCCTTTGAGGAAGTCATTATTCGTCAGGAAGGCTCAAGTCGACGACGTCACATACTTCAAGTTTAACAAAGTTTGGCCTAGTGATTAGGAAACAATTTTTGATAAAAGTTCAGCACAATTCTTTTGTTTTTATCTATTTCCATAGCAACATGTACCTCCCTATTCCATTCACTAGTCATACAAATTAAAAACTCTATAATAAAATGGAAAATTAAGAGTAAATTTCATTCATACCATATGTACCACGAAAGGTTGAGAGACTCTAGTGAAGCTCAAGGAAAAAATAAATAATTAATGCTCAACAAATGGAAATAGAACCAACTACTCGGATACATGAAATTACTCGATTCGATAACTTGCTTGAGGATATGCAACAAATGGGTAAGTAAAGTGGCTTGCGAGTGACGTGACAATCAACCTTGTGGTGCGAGAGAGACAATTATGGAGCAATTTCGAGCCACGGTTCGAAGCAACAGCAATCACATACGTCGGTAGGGACCTTGTCAAGGCTGTTCCGTGACCATTGTTTCTGGTTCATGTCGAAAGTAACAACATAAGGACCACGTTCGCTCAGGATGTATATCAGATCATTCAAGCCAGAACTTCTTATCCAAGGATCAGATCCAAATCCTAGGAAAAGATCATCAGGCATGCGAGCAATCTCATGCCACTCCCTGCCATTCAAGACCCAAATGCCGACTCCCTTCATTGACATGAAAGATGCTCGATCATCTTCGCTGATATCCCCAACCAAAACTAGCTTCTCCTTCATGTTCATCAGACATCCACGTGGGAGAGGGCAAGGAACCGGAACAAAGCTTGCTAGCAAGTCATTGGAACATCGTCCGGAGAGGTCATACATCACCAGGCCATCGCCGTGCCAAGGTGAAACGTACCCCGTTTGATAAATTGAGAAATACAGAACCCCGTCACAGATTACACTCTCGTAACCGCTTCTCCAACCTATCAAGACCTCTGTCATGCAAGTCACCCACATCCTTGGTTGGGAACTGTAGAGACGAATCGAAAGTTCCCGTCCGACCGGAACCCCAGGGAGATCTTTTGTAGTCACGATTGAGACTCTATAACTTGGTGTTGTCCTACTAACCGTGATTGCAAGGGGGGTGCAAATCACATCTTCCACCCTCAGGGACCGCGCAATTTCTCTCCGTCTTCTCGTAAGAGGGTTGTAGACATATAACCTGGCGAAACCATCCTTACCTTTGCCCAATGCAGAAATCAAGCCAGTGGAAGATACAACTTTGGCGATGCATGCACTGAATAATTTGAATCTGGGTAGATCGAGCTCGTACCAGACGTTGTAGACAGGGTCATAAGCATGTCCATGGGGTCCAAGTAACCATGGTCTCCGCGATACACCGTGCAACAGTTTCTTCCGAAAACTCCTAGAAGTTATAATTCCACGCCACCGAGTACAAACAGCGCCCGCTCTGACAAGGTCTGCGAACGGGAGGCAGGCTAGGATCTGTTCCGATAGGTCGTCAGGCAGGAACCAGTCCATGGGAACTAGAGAAACTTTTGCATTGCGTTCACGTTCACGTTCACGGAGAACTGAGGACACACGAGGCGTCTTGTTGTCCCTCGGCAGGTTTTGATCGGCCGATAGCGTCTCTCCCTCCATGAGAAATCCTGACAGAGTATAAATCTTTGAAGAACAGGTTCGTGAAATCTTTACAGGTCCAATTGCTAAGAATACAGTCTTCGGAGGTCATTCTCATCCGCGCGCAGATAGTTTGTATATGGTAACTTAGTCCAAAACATGCTTAAAATCACATCAGAATAGCTCTATGTTATTCTCAATGTGTAGGCACATTTAAAATATTTCCTTTCCCTTTCTAATTCGTAATCCAAGATTATAGTCCGAAGAAGGCAACATTAGATCAAAATCCAACTTCGAATTTTCTTTATGCCTCATCAAATACGGACCGATTTATATCTTCCAATCAGGTTAGGCTCAAACTAGAGATATAATTTAACAATCATAAACAAATGAAAATCATTCGGTTTGTATTTTTTTTTTGTTCGAATTCAGTTTGTGTAAATTTGCTCATCATGCTCATCTTATTTTCCTTAGATTTCCAAAATTAAAAGTTTCACTTGTACATGCACTAGCATTGTCTCTTTCATAGAGCAAGTAGAGAAGACTAAGGCTCCGTTCGTTTGGCGGAAAATATTCTCCTTTTGGAAAATATTTTCCCGAAAGTCATTTTCCTGAAAAATGTTTTCCTTGAACACAATTTTCTGATGTTCAGCTAAAATCTGAAAAAGTTTCGGAAAATATGTTCTGGTGTTCGGCGACCGCTGATCCGGCGGCGTCCGACAACCGGCGGCGGGCGGCGACGGGCAGCGGGCGGTGATCGGTAACCGGCGGCGGTCGATGGCGGCGGGCGGCGATCGGCGGCAGCGATCGGCGACCAGCGGCGACCGGCGACGGGCGGCGACCGGCGACGGCGGCGGTCGGCGATCGGTGGCGGGCGGCGACGGTGGACCGGTGGCCGGCGGCGCCCGACGACCGACGGTGACTGCGACGGCGGCGCCCGACGATCGACGGTGACCGACGACAGTGGCGTGATCGGCGACAGCGATCGGCGACAGCGGTGACCGGCGATCGGCGGCAACCGGCGACCGGCGGCGGCGGCAACCGGCGACCGGCGGGCTGCGGCCGATGACGGCGGCGGCGACCGGCGGCCGACGGCGGTGACCGGCGATCAACTTCCTCTCCCACGGAAAACATTTTCCCTCCCATGGGCAATTTTGCCTTCACTTTGGGGGAAAATGATTTCCTCTTTTCACAAAGAGGAAATCATTTTCCCCCAAAGTGAAGGCAAAATTGCTCATGGGAGGGAAAATGTTTTCCGTGGGAAGTTATTTTTCGCCCCCGAACACTGGAAAATCCAGAAAATATTTTCTTGGAAAATATTTTCCGCCAAACGAACGGAGCCTAAGAGAGAGCATTGCCCCTCCTTGCTTTGATTATCGATAAACAAAATCACGCCTTTTCAATTAGCATGTGCCATGACTCTTCCAATCTAAGGACACATCAAAGATAAGCCCATAACATCTAATAAGAGGTCGAAAATTTCAAGTTTGCGCTAGTAACGGGTTAAGGTGAGCTGTTAACCTACCTATATTTTGGGACTGCGACCGACCCTTTAGACCCTACTTCACTACAAAAAAACATGAATTTTGAGACGAAAATTTGCGACGGGGAATTTTTCGTCGCTAATTTGTGACGAACTTTGCAACGGATTTATAAATCCGTCGCAAATTGGTCGTCGCTAATTTCGTTGCATAAATTAGCGACGAAATTAGCGACGACCAATTTTCCGTCGCTAATTTATGCAACGAAATTTACCATTTTGCGACGAAAATAGCGACAGATTTTTTTACCGTCACTAATTTGCGACGGATAAAAAATTCATCGCTAATTTGCGACGAAAAAGGATTCGTCGCTAATTTGTAATTTATGACGGAAAATAACTTTCGTCATATCCACCCCACTCGTCAATTTCTCTCTCTCTGTACCGATTCCTCACATTCCCCCGTTTTTCTCCCGCCTTCTCCCTCTTTCGTTTCTCTCAATAATCCTTGCGCAAAGAAATCAATCTCGGTAAAACTTTTCTACCGGTAAGTATCGTAGCTAATTTCGTAACTAATTGGCGACGAATACGGTTCGTCGCAAAACTATTCATTGCTGGATTAGATTTTTTTTTATTGACTATTTTTTTTGTTTTTTTTTGTAACTTCTTGGCCGGTCGCCGGACCGGCGACCGGCCACCGGCGAGACCTCACCGGCCATGGGGGGAGGCTGAGCGGCCCCGCCGGCCGCTAGGTTTCCCCCCATGGCGGTCGACCGGCGGCCATGGCAAGGCTGCTCGGCCTCCCCCGGATCTGGACGAGGCCGAGCGGCCTCGCCCCATGGCCGGCGAGGTCAATCGGCGGCCTCGCCCAGGTGTGGCGGTCGACCTCGCCGTCGCTCAGATTTGGGCGACGGCGAGGTGGACCGATAGCCATGGCGAGGCCGCGCGGCCTCCCCCAGATCTCGGCCTCGCCCCATGGCCGGCTAGGCCGCTCGGCCTCGCCCCATGGCCGGCGAGGCCGCTCGGCCTCCCCCCATGGCCGTCGACCACGGCTAGGCCGCTCGGCCTCCCCCAGATCGGGGTGAGGCCGAGCGACCTCGCCCATGGCCGGCGAGGTCAAACTCGCCGGCGTCAGACGGTTGCCGGACCGGCGACCGGAGAAAAATATAAGGGGAAAAAAAATTAAAAAAATTCGGAAAAAAATTATTAAAAAATGAATGTTAAGTGATTTTTCTTTTATTTAGGTACGTGTCCAATTGAAGGTCTCGCAATCCAAGTGAACGTTGCAATTCTCGTCAAATTGACCACTTTCTACTACCATGATTTCAGACAAATATTTGGGTAAGTCTTCTTTACATGGTAATTTTTTCAATTTTTTCAATTTCAAAGTAATTGTTGCGTGAAAAACAAAATTTTAATTTTCATAATTTTATGGTTTTAATTAAGAACAGTAGATATGATATTTTAAATATTTTACGAGATTTTTTTATTTTAATACAGACACAATGTAAAGAGACAGGGCTTGGATGTATAATAAGAACTTACCTGGACATCGAGGATTGACCGATGAGTTTCGTACTGGGTTGGAACTATTTTTAGACTTTGCTAGTAGTAAATATGAGTTCATAGATGGAAATAAGTTAAGGTGTCCGTGTAAAAAGTACAATAATAGTAAATTTAATGTGTGTGATAAAGTTAGAGAACATCTTTGTAGATTTGGGTTTACTCCGAATTATTATAATTGGACTTGCCATGGTGAACCATTTATATCTGATGAAGGATATCGAAGAAGTGACTAATTTTTAGCTAGGGAAGAATGTAGCTATTATGACCAATTGAACCCATACGAGAGGATGGTGATTGATGCAGCTGGTCAGAATTTTGTTTCAGAATCGAACCATGCAAGTACTAGTTTTACTCCTACACTTGAAAAGGTGGGTACTAGTCATGCATCACAATTGGAAGAGATAGGAGTAACGGGTTTTGATGAGAATGTGTGTAATGGAACTTTTTCATCTAATCAGTTATGGGAAGTGTCGAAAGCAGCAGATGAACCTTTATGGGCAGGTTGTGACAACCACACTAAGTTATCAGTGACAGCAAGACTGTTAAATATCAAGGCAGAGCATAATGTGTCTGCGGATTGCTTCAACTCTTTTGTTGAAGTAATGCGGGAAATACTGCCTCGTGATAACATCATGCCAAGTGATTTTTACGATATGAAAAAGCTAGTGGATAACTTATGTCTTCCGGTTGTAAGGATTAATGTATGTAGTAAGGGTTGTATGTTATATTGGAGAGATGATGAAAATGCAGAATCTTGCAAATTCTGTAGCCAACCTAGGTACAAGATTAACAGGAGGCATGGTCGTAATCAGAAGCGTAGACCATGCAAGCAAATGTTTTATCTGCCCTTAATCCCCAGATTGCAAAAGCTTTATGCATCTCAAGCCACTGCTGAACACATGACTTGGCATCCAAATCATGAAATAGAATAGGGTCTAATGTGTCATCCTTCATATGCAGAGGCATGGAAACATTTTGATAGAACATACCTTGAGTTTGCGATAGAGCCTCGAAACATCAGGTTAGGTCTCTGTGCTGATGGATTTGCCCCATTTGAGAAATCAGGAAAAAGTTATTCATGTTGGCCAGTTATCTTAACGCCGTACAATCTTCCACGTGGTATGTGCATGAAGACACCTTATATGTTTTTGACATTGATCGTGACTGGCCCGCAAAATCCGAAAAAGTTAATAGATGTTTATATGCAACCATTGATTGAAGAGTTACAACGGCTATGGGAGGAAGGTGTCCTTACATATGATGTTTCTACCGATCAAACATTTGTAATGAAGGCTGCTCTTCTTTCGACGATAAATGACTTTCCAGCTTACGGAATGTTATCTGGATGGAGTACAGCAAGGATCTTAGGATGTCCGATATGTTTGGAGAGATCAAAGTCATTTAGATTAAAACATGGAAAGAAGCCCAGCTATTTTGACTGTCACAGACAATTTTTACCGATAAATCATATATTCAGAAGGAATAAAAAAGAGTTCATCAAGAATAGGACTGAAAGAACATGTCCACCATTGAGGTTGACCGGCGATCAAATTTGGGAGCGGGTGCCGGACTTTCCAACTGTTGTTCAAAACCCTCACAGCACGACTTTTGCGTACGGAAGTACACATAAGTGGACAAAACGCAGTATATTTTGAGATCTACCATATTGAAAGGCCCATCTTATTCATCATAATCTTGACGTCATGCACATAGAAAAGAATGTTTTCGACAATGTCATAAATACTGTGATGGATGTCACCGGAAAAATAAAAGACAACTTGAACGCAAGAAAAGATATGAGAGATATTTGTGATCGGCCAACACTAGATGTGGATGCAAGCAGCAGGGGACCAAAACCAAAAGCAGTTTATACATTGGATAAGGAGCAGAGGCGAGTTGTTTGTCAATGGTTGAAATCTGTGCGGTTTCCTGATGGATATGCTTCGAACCTTGGGAGATGTGTTGATTTGAATGAATGCAAGTTGACAGGTTTGAAGAG